TTGTTGCAATTGCAAAAGGAATTGTGTTTTTCATTTCTTTTGTGAAGTTTCATTTTGTATCCTGCAGCTTTACTGTATTTGTTTATTGTTTCTAATAGTTTATTGGTGGAGTTACATATTCATTTTTTAAGAATCACATATGTGCCGAAACCTGTTTGGCTCAGTGGTGAAGCTTTGGTCTGTGGGCTGAGGGGTCTTGGGTTCGATTCTGGTCAAGGGCATGTGCATTGGTTGCGGGCACATCCCCAGTAGGGGGTGTGCAGGAGGCAGCTGGTCGATGTTTCTCTCTCATCGATGTTTCTAGCTATCTCTCTCCCTTCCTCTCTGTAAAAAATTAATAAAATATATATTTTTTAAAAATCACATATGTGTAAAAATTAAAAAACATGGATGTCTAGTACTGTTTTATTAATAATTAACACAAAAATCAACCTACATGGCAAGCCAGTATTGAGACAGGTCACATAAATTATGAAACAAAGAAATTTGTTGCAGCTACTAATGACTACATTTTAGACAAGAACTTAGCAATGTAGAAACAAAAAAAATGTGTTGTATAAATTATGGGAAACACAGGTATTTATAGCATAATGCCACTTTTATTAGTGTGTGTGTGTGTGTGTACTGTAAACAAAATATTAGAAGCAGACACATTGAAACATTGATTGCTATCCTTTTGCAGTAATAGATTTATAAGCAATTTAAATTTTCTTCTTTGTGTTTTGTGTTACTTTACAAATTCCTCTGAATTAATACGTACTATGCTTAAAATCATAAATGTTTTTATACTCATATTTTTGTAATAAGTAACCAAAGCCATTGCATGCAGACCTTTTTTCATCCCTGTACCAGTGGAGAATGAATCCACTGATCTCTGTGGTTGTTTCTTTCTCTAAGTTTCTATAAAACAGTTTATGTAAAACAAAAGGTAATGCAGAGATGGGTACACACAGACAACAAGAAAGCAAGTAAATAAAATATGTCATAGTCAGAAAGAATGAGTTTCATTGAAAGGAAGTCAAGGTGCTTTTTAGTGGAAATCCCCTGTGGACACACTCAGGGAGCCCTTGGCCAAGGTGTGGTCATCCTAGCATCACTGTCTTTTTAACTTAATAATGAGAATTGATGATGACTAGGGATTAGTGCAAATATGTGTACTGCTTACACTGTGCCAGGTACTACATGCTATAGACACATTTCATTTTGTATTAAAAGAAATTAAATAAAATGCCTGAGGTCTCATGACCAGTAATCACACTTATAACGTTCCTTATGCTTTCTGGATTTTTAATTAAAATTTATTTTTAAACTATAAGGGTTAATTTCACCATAGACTTTTTTTTTTTTTTTCATTTTTTTGAAGGAGCCAAGGAATTTCCATTGTAATCTCAGAACTCCTTACTCATTTACTAACAATGCCTGAATCCCTTTGATATTTTAAACTATCAGATCACCTGACCTTTTTGGAAAGATAAAGGCTACCTTAATTCATTATATTTGGAAGTTACATTGAAATCATTTACCATTTGGAAGCTTTTAAAAATGGAAAAACACCTTTTTTTGTTGTTGTTTATGATGTTATGAGAAAGGGGTGGGAGAATCTTCATATATAAATAAATTAAGCTTGCCTTATAGATTTTTGAATGCCTTACCAAACCTTCACCAAATCTGATTAAAATGATATAGCAACTGTGGTTCCACTGGGAAAAAATTGTTCTCAAGATTGTAACTCATGTTTCCATGTTGCTGTGGCTAGATTAAGCCAAGGATCTAGGTTCTATAACCTATGTAACAAAAATGAGTAAAAGAACAGAAACTGATCTTATGAGAACCAGGTCCTATGAAATCCACCATGAAATGCAGAAGAAATGAAACTGCCTATTACCTAGGATAATGATCAGTTTTTCCCTAAGTTTACTCAGGAGAAGAAAAAAAGGTAACAGAGATGAATAATTTAAATTCCCTATGAGGAAGACTCCTAGTAATATGGCTGTTAAATAAGGGAGCAGAATTTTGAACAGGACTTAAAATACTTATGTAAATTCTGATTGCACAAATAAACAGATCTCTAGGAATCATCTTATTTTCTCAGGAAAAATAATACCTGCAAAACTTGTAATACACGAATCATGGGTTAGCCTAATCTCTGCTGCAAATAAGTACACTGTGTTTTTTTTTTTTTTTTTTTTTTTTTTTTTTTTTTTGTGTGTGTGTGTGTGTGTGTGTGTGTGTGTGTGTGTGTGTGTGTTTGTGGTTTTTTTTTTTTTAACTGAGACTACAATGCAACCATATCTCTCTTCTTATACAGAAGTTCATGTAACAGACACTGTTATACTTTATCAATGTGGGAACAGATTTCAGAGGAGATTTAACAGTGTTATATTCCCCAAAAGATTTTAAAGTAGGACACATCTATTCCAGTATTGTTGCTGAAATATAGTCCCATCTAATGGCAGGTATAAGTGGATTAGAAACTCAGAACTTTCATCCCTTTTTTTGGTTAATTTCTCAGTGAAGTCAACAAAAAATGTGATTGTTGCTCTAGCGTCAGCTTGCCTGAGAGAAGCTTTTCTCTGAATGCAAAGCTTGAGTAACTTTTTTAGATGAATGCCGAGTCCCAAACTTGAGACATAATATGCTCTCAAAATTCATGAGTCTTGCCAATTTGTTCAATAACATTTATATTTGGGAAGGATAGTTTTTCCCCCAAAACATAATAGTTAACTTATTATAACAAGGAATGCAAAACTGCATTTGGGGATAAATTAATAACTTATTTAAGTACAATTTTATCATGTCTAGGTCCTCACACAAACTTGAGTACTAAAATATTAAAATTGTAAAAATTTTTTTTGCACTTTAGAGGGTCATTTTCTCTAAACTATATTACATCAGAACATGGTGACCTCAGTTGGCTTCTGAAGAAGTTTCAAATAAAATTCTTTCTGGGGTGAAAAGAAACCACAGAAATACTAAAACTAGTGTTTCCTTTTACTCGCTCAGTAATGGACTCAAGTCACGCTCACCCCTCTGACAGAAAGGACGTGAGGACAGTCCTTCCCCAACAGGAGTCAAGGTTGGCTTTCCCGGACTCAGCTTCTGACTTAAGAGTTTGGACAGAATGTCTCTCCATTGCCTCCATGTGCTGATACATCCTTGCTTTGTTCACAGTACAGTTTTGTTTCTGGAAAATCTGCCTTGATTTGACAGTTCCCTTGAATACCACCTCCCACAAGTTCTGAGCTAACATGGAGAAGTTGCCACAATTCATGCTCTTTCCCACACAGAACTGCCATATACGAATGTCATTCTAAACTCTAATTATAAAATAAACCCTATGATGTTTTCAACAAACCCACTGCTCTGAGAAATCTAATTTCCACTCCATTTACTTTATACTAGTGAGAGATAGCATAATTAAAGAGAATCAGCTTTCTTAAAACCAAACAACATAGATGCATGTGATAATTTAAGTCTACCACTATCTATAATAATAATAAAAGCATAATATGCTAATTAGACCAGATGTCTTTCTGGATATCCTTCCAGAAAACCTTCTGGACTAAGCAAGGGCTGTGAGGGAAGCTCGAGTCCTGGTTGCTTCCTGGCAGCTGGAGGGAAGCCTGGGTCCCGGATGCCAGAGGGAAGCCAATACAGGCAGCCAGGGGAAGGAAGGCCTACTCTTGCACAACTTTCATGCACCAGGCCTCTAGTCCTATATAATAAAAGGGTAATATGCAAATTGACTCTAATGGCGGAATGACCAGAACGACCACTCAACCAGTCACTATGAGGCACACTGACCACCTCTTAGTCCCTCTCCCTGGCCAGAAGGTTCCCATTATCAGATGGTGAACAGAGAACCAAGGGTGGGTGTGGGGAATGCAGGCTCCACAAGGCCAAGGCCCCTGTCCTACTGGTTGCCCCACACACAGAAGGTAACCCATAGTGGGGGTGGGCCCAGTGAGCAGGCAGGAATGGCCAACCTCTCAGTCTGAAAACTCCCCCGGTCCCTCCTAGCCAGAAGGCTCTAATCGGCCAATGGCTACTGGGGAACCAGGGGTGGGTGGTGGCAGGGGGCAGGCTGGCTGCAGGTAGCTAGGGAAGATGGTCCTGATCGCAGGCAAGGCCTAGGGCCTGTACCCAGGCACAAATTTGTGTGCCAGGCCTCTAGTCATAAAATAAAATAAAAGAACTTTAAATAAAAGGAAAAGAAATGACTAATTTTGAGATGTATTTTATTATCATCTCTTGTTTTATATAATCACATCTAGGACACAGACAAACAAGCAGATACCTTCAGTATGAACATACCCAAGCATCCCTGAGGGCTGTTCTTGAAATAGAGGAGATTTAAAAAACAGAAGCTTTCATATGATGGCTAGTTACAGGATCAGACTACTACAAACAGCACTTACAGTTTGAACTCCTACTATTACAAACAACTGCCCAAAATATTATAGCACATATGTTTTAATTCTACAAAATGCAAATTGACTAGATAGGCAAAGCTAATTTAGAAGAGAAAATATGTATCTCCTCTAATAGATATAATTCCATCAAAATTTTTATTTATCTAAATTTATATTTTTTCTTTCACCTTCCTTTAGACTCTCAAGCAGTTTTATATAAACATGTTAAACATAAAATGACAGAGCTTCTCTTTTGCTGGTAAATGTACACCTATCATATACCTTTTAGTCAAACAATGCCTTTCTTTAATGTCTTTCTGATTATTAATAAAAGAAATATATCTGCACAACCACACTAAGCATACCAAAGAATTCAAAATACACATGCTTGTCTTGGCTATTTAATTTTACTTTACCTAAATTATATACATATATAGAGAACCTCAATAAAAGTTATAGACCAAACAGTATAATTAACAAGTAGCACTTATTCTATTGTTCAAAGAGTTAACATCTGCCCGAATCACTTTCCTTTACATTTACCCCCACTGCAGGTTCAGACTTTGCAATTACCCTTCTTCTACATACTGGGAATTTGTTGGATCCTGTGGACAACGACAAATGCATCAGACAGCCCCACTTTCACTGGGTGATTGGTCGAACTTATCTGCGTGACCAAAACAGGAATCTGAAAAAGCAAAAGCAGATTGCTATGTGTTAGAATTTAATTTCACCTTGCTTAATGGATAAAATCAGGTGATGGAGATGAAGAACTAAAGAGAGAACAACTGGAACCCAAGTCTGAATGTGACAAACATTCCTAATATTTACAGTTTAAAAAATAAGGACACACTGAGAGTATACTAAACAAAAAACAGCATTATACATGAGACAGACTATTGAAGCCTATTTTTTCTAGACTTAGAAGAGTCTAGATAACAATGATTGCTAACTTTATTATCATTTTTATAGAAATAAAAATAGAAATGAAACCATATTCAATGAATACAAGAACTAGAAACAAAAAAGAGAAAAATAAATGTACCCCAAAAATCTTTAAGAAGAATAAATAGGTTGTGGGCAATCTGTGAGTAATTCATTAAAGAAAATATTAGATCAGACATTGTTATATAAACCTTAACAAATGGTATAGCAATAAGAAGAGAAAAAATAAACCAGAGAGAAGGTATAATAAGACCTCTGTTTTACTCATTTTTGCCCATGGCATCATAATATTTAAAAGGGACTTTTTGTTGAAATTGACAAATTAAGAGAAAATTTAAATGTTTCTGAAATTACTTTGAAACACACAAATGAAAGATGACATTTTCCATTTATGCACTAAATTAGTCCTTTCTAAAACAATGTTATATACCAATTTTATATCAGTATGTCCAGCGTTAAAAATTATTCTGATATTTGGAAAACAAAAACAAAACAAATCACAATTTCTGTTTCTAAGAGTGTATTTACTAGATTAAACTCTGATACACTTATTTAGTTATTTACCAAGCTATATTCAGTATCAATATATGAATCCTTTTTCTTAATGGGCATTATACTCAGTTTACTCAGTTTTATACTCCATGTGCAGGAGTGCTACTATAAATGTAATTTACATTTAAGACAGATTACAGTTAAAGATGAAAAGACCAAAGAATGGATAAAGCATAGAAAAAAATCCAAATTCAGGTTATACTTTGTATATCCGAGTAGGACAAAGTCATAATTTTTAAGTGGCATTATTAGCAGATGCCTGCCTAGAATAAGTATTAAAACTTTGCTACTGGCATTTGCCACTTGCCTTCATCCCACAACATCTAGGAGTTCAGTTTTCCTCTGCTAGGTGTGAAGTATTTCCCCAGATAGTTCTGTGATAATTAGTGTCTTTTTTTTCCTCCATTTTAATTTCAAATCATTTTCTTTTTATTATTTATTTTTATTGAATTATTGGGGTGACATTGGTTAATAAAATTATATAGCTTCAGGTGTAAAATTCTATAATACATCATGTGTATATTGTATTACGTGTTCACCATCCCAAGTCAAGTCTTTTCCCCTCCAAACCCAAAGCAGAGTTTGAGTTTTTATTTCTAGCAACTGAAAAATCTTACTGTAATCATGAATTTTATATTTTTCACCAGGGTCTGTTTTCTAGCTCACATGGCTTGGTTGCTGCATACTTCCTAGCATAGTATCTCTTTCTCTTCTGTTCAGATTTTCAAATCCCTTTTCTATCACTTTTTTTTTTTTATCTTCCCTGCCATCCTTCATGTCATTTGTTTTCTTCAGCAATTTCCTTCCTTGCACTGTCTTCCTTTATACTTAGTCTTGAAGTCAAACACTCTCCTCTGGTGCTATTTTTTTTTTTAAGTATTGATTTTTTACAGAGAGGAAGGGAGAGGGATAGATAGTTAGAAACATCAATGAGAGAAAAACATCGACCAGCTGCCTCCCGCACACCTCCTACTGGGGATATGCCTGCAACCAAGTTACATGCTCTTGACTGGAATCAAACTTGGGACCTGTCAGTCCCCAGGCTGATGCTCTATCTTCCGAGCCAAACCAGTTAGGGCTCCTTTGGTATTTTTTATCTGTGGTGGATCAACTATAATCATGGCCTCTAATCAATGTTCTCCTTTGTCCTCACTTTTTACTTTTTCACTTGGCCATCTTCTTCCACTTTACTCGTGGCTCAGTAATATAGCAAAAGAAGATAACAGCAAAATAAAGGAAAAAGGAGCTCCAAAGAGTGCTTGCACGTTTCCACCTCCTTTAAGGGTCCCCTGCCACAGCCAGGATGTACCCTGCTGGTCTGCTGTAGATATGAGAGAGATAGGGAGAGTTACTCTCCTTCCAACAGAGATCATCATGCACCCGCTGACCCTCACCCACTCTACCTGGCTCCTGCGTGAGATCAGAAGAGTACCACCCGGATGAGTGGAACCACTGGGTTGGGCCACAGGCATCTTGTGAGAAATAAGAGATGCAGTTGTTTGAAACCACTACATTTTGGGGCGATTTGTTATGCAACATTGACTGAATTGCTTTTGGTGTTTTTAGAATTAAAAAGCTATCCCTGGAGCAGGAGTAAACAAAGGTGTCAAAGGAGATGGGAGCTGGTGGTGGCAGGTCACAGGGAGCACATCGTCCCTGAAAGCTAAGACAATGACTTCACATTTTATCCCAAGTCATGTGGGGGAGACTGTAGAGGGTTTTGAACAGAGGAAAGATGTGCCCTCACATGTGAAAAAGATCCCACAGGCTTTTGTGTGTACGGGGCCAAGGGTGAGAAAGAAAGGAGTTAAGACAGCATCTCGTGTGTCCAGGTTAGAGATGAATTGCTGGGACTACACTAGAGCGGCAAGTGTAGGAGGGGAAAATAGAATAGGAAGATGAATTCTGGATGAACCAGAAAGGAATTGCTATCAAGACATGCCGCACATTCAGTAAGGGGAGTGAGACAAAGAGGCAGGCCAACCACGCCATCAAGACTTTGGTCTTACTAGCAGGAAAAATGAAGCCATGCTTTCCCCCAGGGTGGCCATGGGGGCACTCTGTCGGTCTGTTCCACTGCAGGCCATGAGGGGCGTGCTCTGGGTGTGCAGAGGAGGATCTGGGCAGCTCTGAGGAGCACTGCCATGTTCTGGGATGGAGACTAGCAGAAGGGTTAGAAAACAATGATAGATTTATGGCAAGATCAGTGGCTTCAAATGCTTCTCCTTAAGATTTTATAGAGCTCATGAATAAGAGCCTAGGCTGTCTAAAACTGTGGTATTTTATCCTGATTAAATATTAAAATGAATAAGAAGCTTTTGATTCCCCACATCTTCCTAGAAGCTACCTAGATCTTTTACAAAATAATTACATATCAGGTTTTGTAAAAGCCACTTTCACCAATTTAATTAAATGACTAATGTTGTAAAAGATTAATGAGTAAGAGATAAACAACTCCAGGCTTTCTCATAGATTTATTTCAGAAACATGTCTGCCTGTCTACACCTGGTATTGGCATTATTGTTTCCACTCTGCCTTGTTGGATTGTATTCTTTTTACTTCCAAATACCAAAGGCATGGAGTTGTTCTGAGAAAGGATCACTCACTCATTCACTCACTGCAGCCGAGGAACGGAACTGTGTCAGCACTTGGGGCCGGGCAGACCATTCACAGGTTTCCACATCAATGACTAGAGACCGTTAAGATGAACCAGGAGTACTGTAAACTGCATTTAAAATGTGTTGCTTTTTTATTAATATCAGCAAAGCAACTATTATTACATGCATATGAGTAAATAAATGATCAGATATTGAACAAAATTAGCACTAGAACATGTTTGTCATAGTGTCACAATCACCCATTCTTTGGAGAACTCTGCATTTGCAAGGATTTGAAATCCACAGCCAGAGAAGCCATGGCCAAGGATGATGTCCAAGTTCAAAAATTCTAAAAACTTTGCTTATGAGAAACTATTTGTTATCCTTTCTGCAAATTCATATTTATCTGGAAAATGTCTCAAGTTGGTTCCTAGGGATGTTAGGAAACATATGAAATTATACACTCTTAACTATTTCAGCTTTAAAAAAGAATAATAAATATAGCTTCACTATTTTCATTTACTTGTAATCGTTGCCTTTTATGACTAAAGCAAAACTAAATTTTTACTTAACCTCCATATGATTTGTACTGAACCATAAATTTCTGAGGATGTTTTACAATTACATTCCCCCACAAGACTGAGATAAAAAAGAAGCCTTAGTGCCAGTTAAAATATAGCTGCATTTTGGCTCTTACTATCATGTATAGATTCGTTTCAAGTATTTTAATTTTTATCTTATTTAAGAAGAGATAGCTATGTTTATGACTTAAATTAGCATTAGTTTCCCCATAAATGGCATAGGGCAGCACATTAAGACACATGCAGGAAAGAGCCGTAGCCTCTAGACAACATTCAGGCCGGGAGGCTATTGGGAGTGAGCCACGCAGGGCAGAGCACACTGGCCGTGAGGGGAAAGTTCAAAGTCAGGAACTGCTCCCTTCTCTGCACGGTGGCATCCCTCGCTGGGACACAAGGGCCCAACACAATACCTAAAATATGAACTTTTTACATCTCAAAGTCTCTAAACAGGGAGGCAACAGCATGCTGCTTGGATTAGAGGTAATGGGATTTTATTTTCCTGTCTGTTCTGTCCTGCAAACCTCGCCAAAACATTCATTTGTTCCCATTATGGACCCAGCTAGCTATCTGGTCAGCGGCACAGCATCTCAGCAAGGGCTTGATTGTATAGTATGTGAGCCAAAGTATGAATCATGTGCCTATTGGAACGCAACCAGAAAAGAATTACTCTAAGCTCATTTTTGTTCACTCTTTCTCTTCACTCACTAATCAGCAATATGGTGTCTCACTCTCTCTCTATATATATACGTGTTTTAAACCAAAGCTTACTATTTTACCCATTCTCACCTGCATCCAATCCTTTACTTTCTACCTCATCTTTCTTAAATATCTGCTCTGGTTTCACCGTTACTATAATATGTAGGGTATGCAATTTTACAAAGCCACACTCTGTTTTATTATCATCAAAAACAACACATAAGGTACAGATGGTTAGTTCTTATTTGTCTAAACACTACAATTGACTAAAAAGGCTTTCAGTTAAATTTGACAATATACAAATCTATTTGCTTCAT